TGCTGCTGCTGCTGCTGCTTACTGCTACTTACTGCTACTGCTACTGCCACTGCTACTGCTACTGCCACTGCCACTGCCACTGCCACTGCTACTGCTGTTGCCGCTACTACTACCCCTACTACTACAACTTCAGCAACTACTACGAGTTGTACTGGTACTACTGCTACGAATGCTACTACTGCTGCGGGTGCGCCTACGATTACGACCACGGACACGGCTGCTACTACTGCTACGACTTCTGAACCCTAGAGGTTCAGGGCATGGTCCTCAAGCCCATTAAATGAGCACAAGCTGGCATAAGGTGAGCCTGAAAGCCAGCTCTATACTCCCTAAACCCTAAGCCCCTAAACCCTAAACTCCTTGGTTCCGCACTGGTCCACCACACGCATCAACTTCGTGGAGACCTCCGGTGTCAGATCTGGCTACTGAGAGGCCTAGTGCCGGCCTTCCTCGCAATACTATGGCGGACTTGATAACTAGAGCAGGATTCCTTTAAAGGGTTCGATACGGGGTTTGAAAATAAAATAGGGGCCTTGATGATTGGAAAAGGGTTCTGGGGTATTCTGGGTTGTAATCATACTGATATTTTAGTAGACACCGTCTACAGCACTTCTGTCGAAAGTGTGCGCGAGGTTCCCAAACTGCTTGCACCTGGCTGCCACGTTCTCGCAGAGCCTGCTCGTCGTCGTTGTTTCCCATCCTGCCAACAACAGCCGGACCCCAGCAAAGGCGACTGCTTCGAGGGTATCAAGCCCTAACCCCCCAGTTACCTAGTATATAGGGTACTAGAGCCCCTAGTGCCCTATATAGTAGGTACCCGGAGGGTTAGGGAAGGTCTGCATTCCCAGCAGTGCTCCGGGGTCCTGGACGGAGAAGTCGGAGCTCCTGCTGTGCCCTTCGTCAGGTCCTGAAGTCCAGGTGTTCGTTTCTGGGCTCAGACCACTGAAGTGTCAAAACCCTAAACCCTAAACCCCAAAACCCTAAACCCCCAAACCCCTAAACTCTAAACCCTAACTCTCTGAAACATCGAGAAGCCATGCCCGAGTCCTGAAGTCTCCTCTCCAGGAGCTGCGACTCGGCGGAGACCTCGTCCAGACTGACCCGATACAACTGCTGCTGCTGATGATACCCATGCGAGGGCACGACAGCGATGGCGATGATGCTGGGGACGATGATGACGACGACGATGATGATGATGATGATGAGGATGAGGATGACGAGGAGGATGATGATGATGGTGATGCTGATGGGGATGATGATTGTGATGATGATGATGATGATGACAAGGACGAGGATCAGGATGAGGATGAGGAGGATGATGAGGATGATGATGATGAGGATGATGACGGGTGAGGATGATGGTGATGGTGCTGGTGCTGGTAATAGTGATGATGATGAGGATGAGGATGATGGTGATGGTGAAGGTGATGGCCCCATGTTCATAACCATCAAGATTCCTCATGATCGGAGCCGTTCTGTGATATGCAATCGCTCCCTAGGTACTGCTCCAGGAATGACTATCAGTTCGGGTCCTTACCCCCATCAGTAGCCAATAACATGCAAGCACTCAGACTAAACCCTAAAGGCCCTGAACCCTAAACGCTGTTGCTTTTCAACGTCACCTCAACCTTAATCACGACATGAACCTTGAAAGCTTCCATACAGAGGCGAGCGCCTGGTCCCGCTTCTGAACCTCCTCGTCCAGCTGCCTGCACAACAGGCAGGCGACAACAACACCAGCCCAGCAAAAAACGGCAACATGTTGCCTCACACGATTGGCGCTCAGCCTACTTGCAGGCTTGGAATAGTAGTATCGTGGTGAAGGGACGACGAGTATCCCTTAGCGAAAGCCTGGTCAGCTTCACCATCTTGCTCTTCATGGCCTCCAGCTCATGCGTCCTGAAGTTCCATGGGTCATACACATTCCTGCGTGCCGAACGTCAGGTCATGATGGCTTCTTGACATAAATAAGTATGTGTATGCGTGTGTGTATATATATATATATATATATAGCCTATGTATGTAGTTGCGTAATTGTTTTTGTGTTTTTGCTCATTTGTTTATTTGGCGCATGTACAGTATAGGTAATATGGGAAGTGTTTTTGGTAAGTCATACATACATACATACATACATACATACATACATACATACATACACACACGTGTATGTCTATATAATTTATGCATGTATATATATATACATATATATATATGTCCATATAGATAGATGAACATGTATGTGCATACATATATATATATATATGCATTTGTGTATACATACAGTACTATACACATATACGGTAACATGGGTCCTTTGCAAGGCCGCCTCCTGGTGGCTCTTTCCCAGCTCTCTTTCTGAAGCGATCTGCCGCAACACGGACAGGGCATGTTGGAAGGGAGACGTCGGAGCTGTCAGACATCAAAGATGCGCAGTCACGCAGGCCTTACTCTCGAACTCATTCTTCTCTTTCTCTCGCTGATGCTGCAGATTCTGGAGTTCCTTCCTTGGTTAAATCCACCACTGGCAATGCCAACGCTGCTTGTTGCAAGGTGCAACACCCGGCCAGAATCCCGGTGGCAGATGGCAACGTGACATCGTGAGGCCCGCACTTCAGGCGCGCATTCTCTTCATTCAGATGATCGGCGTCAGCTGGCATTGTCGGCGCCAATCTTAGCAGCAACGAAGGTCATGCGACCCGGTACAGTAGCGCCCGCTAGAAGCTGCCAGAGCAATCAAGAAAGAGTACAATAAACTAAGCAGCAACTACTGGAAGCTAGAATGCCAACACAGAATAGTAACGCAACGTACGACCCCCTGTGGCTCCAAAGCGTCTCTCTTCTTTAACGGATCTAATGGCTATGGCACGGAACTAGTGGCACATTCCCGAAGCATTCGGCCAAGACGAAGCAAGGTCAATCGTGAAGCAAGATCCCTTGCATACATCCACACACACACACGCATATGTAAATATATATATATATATATACACACACACCACATATATCCTTTATATGTATTTCATATGTAGAGATTTTAAACACATGTAGATATATAAGAGCATGTGCCCGGTGCAGTTCTTGATCTTCATCACTCTTCGAGAGCGCCTCGCATGTTTGTCTCAGTGTCTGGAGACATATTACAGGCTGCTTCTTTTAGAGTTTAGGGTATATTTGGCCTCATATATTACCCGCTGCTTGTTTAGAGTTTTAGGGTATATTTTTGCCTCAACCCGGAACTCACGACTAAACTCTGAACCTTCAAGCTTTACCCCCCCTCCCCCCCCCAAATCCTGAACCCCTGAACCCTCAAACTTCTTCTGGCAGCGAAGACCCAAAACCCCAAACCCTAAACCCTAAACCCTAAACACCTAAACCCCTAAACCCTAAACACCTAAACCCTAAACCCTAAACCCTAAACACCTACACCTTAAACCCTAAATCCTAAACACCTAAACCTTAAACCCTAAACCTTCTGGCAGCGAAGAGGCTCGACTTGACGAGGTCAAGTTCAGCTTCTACACGTGCAAAACGCGCTGGGCGGGATAGAAACAAACCCCACCACCTTCGAACCCGAAAAGGCGAGGGAGAGATTGCTAACCTGGGTTCTGGTGAAGGGATGTAGTTTAAGATACCCTAATAGGGATCTACAGTAGAGAATAATATGGTTTCCTTCTTATGGTAACTTAAATTTAAACCCCTTAACAAGAACCCAGTAACATGGCAGTGCGTGCAAACATGAATGAGTATGTAAGTTTCTGTGCTCCGTATGTACGTCCGTGTATGTTCATATCCACGTACACATTGGTATATCCACGTATCGCCAAGGTGGGATACTTAATTAGGGGCCGAGTACCTTAGCCCGCAAAGGGTGAACATTGTAATTACAGGTAGTAGGGTTATAAAGGCACCACCAAAGGGTTAAAGGATACCTACTATGCCACGCGATCGAAAGCCGCCAGATTCAATCTCTTCAAAGCTATGAAGTCCTCGACTACCGCCCCAAACATCGAAGCGGCAAACCTCGAACTTGAACTCTACTTAGTCTACCACTGGTGCAATGGAGGGCCCTACAACTGAGGCGTGGTGTCCTTTTCATTTACGGGTGCGCCGTCGTCAAGCCGCTCAGTCCGCGATGGCCAGCACCCAGGAGCACGGGTCATAACCGAAGAGACCTGGGCTGCAGTTGCAGTAGCTGCAGCAGTGGCAGTGGCCCAGCAAGTAGTAGTAGTAGTAGTAGTAGTAGTGGTGGTAGTAGTAGTAGTAGTAGCAGCAGTAGTAGTAGTAGTAGTAGTCGTCGTTGTGGTCGTCGTCGTCGTAGTGGTAGTGGTAGTGGCAGTGGCAATGGCACTGGCAGTGGTAGTAATGGTAGTCGTCGTAGTAGTAGTAGTAGTAGTAGTTATCAGGAAGCGGTCGCAGTAGGAGGAGGAGGAGCAGGAGGTGTGTTGGGACTGGTGCACAGGCTAATGGTAGCACTACCTATGGTCTCCATAGTAGGTTCCTTTTTCGTTGCCTTATTGGGATCCTAACTACAAAACTTTTTTCATCCAAACAAACTACGTACTGGTACTGGATGTCGTGATCCACCAAGGTGGCCGCTGTCCACGGCGGCGGGGCCGTCACATCAGCTCCATCCACGCCAAGCTCCCAAAGATAAGCTCCTGCCACTCATGGTTCGGTCTATGAACTGCGACAGAGGAGCATCCCAAACCGAGGATCACAAGAACATGGCATAGCTCTGCAAAAACATGGCGAAACGTTCGGGGGCCCGAAGCCCACCTCCTACCTAGTAAGATCCAATGAGAACCCCGACATAAGGTATCCTAAAATTCAACAAAAACAACACAGGCTCATGTCACAGGCTCCCTTTGCACATTTACGCTGCAGTCCTCGCCACCTTCGAGGCCGTTTTCTTCCACCGTCTGCTTCTCGTTAAGCCGCTCGCTTTCTGATGCAGGTGGCTGCCGTCTCATACTAGAACATGTCATAAGTGCTACCACAGAACACACTAGAATGTAGTATAGTATGATGAATTCAGACATGTTACAGAACCATAGTCTTGATTATTTTTATTCTTACTGTTTATCGATGCCGGCATCGCAGCCACAGCATGGGACCATGCTGCTTCCTGCGAGTAAGGCGAGCACTTTTCAGGTACCGCAGGTTCCCGCGAGAGTCAGTCTCGGCAGATACAGTGGAAGGGGGGAAGGGGGTGGCACGTACAGAACACAAATCCCCCGCCCCTGGGCTGAGCTCAAGGCTGTGGGAGTACCGTCCAAGAGAAAGAGTCCGTACTGTCTTGCAGCCAGATCCTGGGGGTTCAGAATCAACAAGTTGAAGTCCTATGGGGTTCCGGGGCGTCACAGACACGTAAGGCCATGGCACAAAGGAAGGGAACCTTTTCCCGAAACTGCTCGTAAGCTTCCCTTGGATGAGCTCGGACGCACTCGAATGCCCTAGAATCCTCAAGCTCTAGACATGCAACCCCCTTAAACCCCTAAACCTTAAATCCTAAACCCCAAACCTTAAAGCCTAAAGCCTAAACCCTCAAGCCTAAACCCCAAAACCCTAAAGCCTAAACCCTAAACCCCAAATCAAACCCAGAAAACCCTAAACCCCAAACCCTAAAGCATGGCAGTGCCGACAGCCGCTCAAGCCTAGGAGCAGCTTGAGGTCGCCAACGTTCTCCTGCCTGGGAGTTATCTCTCAGAAAACGGGTCTGAATGATTCTGGGTTTTTGGCTTAGGGGTTTAGGGTTTGGGGTTTAGGCTCTAGGGATTTAGGGTTTAGGGTTGAGGGTCTAGGGTTGAATTATGCCTGTAGTCTCCATTGTAGTTCATTTTTTTGGTTGAACCAATAATATATTAAGGATTTTATAAGGCATCCCCAAAGAGGAACTACAATGGAGACTATAGGTAGAGCTTTTTAGGGTTGCCTTGAGTTCCGCGGTTCGGGGCGTCCCGGCTGGCCGAAGTGACACAAAACCAGGGGTGAGAGTATTTTGTATAGAGGGATAAAGGGCCTCCGCAGAAATACGTCTCCGGCTTAACTACTCAGGCAACTACGCTTCCTATCCCTACATCCCAAGTCTTGAAACTGAGACTGAACATGCGGGCCTTAATAATTAGAATAAGAATTTGAGGGGAAACCATACTATAAGTATAATAAGGAACCC